GTTCATTCCAATTGGCCACCTTAAGTTGGGATCGTTCCCTAGTTAGACAAGTTATTTATCAATACATGGTAATATATGGCACTAATGCATGTATTTATTAATACATGACACTTACCTCCGCATGCTCCGAAATTAGCGAAAGGCATCCCGTTTTCCTTGACAACGTGCAAAAGTGTGTCACCAAGCTGTAATCACAATACTTAGCGGCGAATGAAGCGGTCAAGCTGGCTTTTGTCAAAAGCACCTTGCCAGTTCCGACATACTTCCGGCTACCGTAGTAAAATTCAACTGTTCTCGTTGGTGGTGGTCGTGTCGAAAGAGGGCATGTGCAAGTGAATGGAGCGACAGAAGCAATGCCGAGAACATATCTGCCACCGTATAGAGGGGCAAGGGTTCGACTTGCCATTCTGGAATCATTGATCATAACGAAGATTTTCGCATCAACTAGGTTAGCATACTCGTGCACCTAAACATTTTTCATTTTCAACAAATTCGTTATATACTCAACATTACATTCAATATAAGTAGTTGAAGAGAAAACACATTTTCCATCAAGTAGGAACAAACAGATATATAGAAAAAAAACACTTCTCTCAAAGTTTGGTCGCACAAAGAAGAAGACTCGATTCAATTCAGTTGCAGTTCATTTTACTTTTCATTGTAGAAAGATTTAAGGCTGACGGGAAGTTTCAAGTAGAGTTGAGTTTTATTGGGTTTCAGCGTCGATTCCTCTATTTCTTGATTTAGAAATCCCCAATCATAACAAAAGTGAGTGTTTCAAAAGCTATCCCCTTTTTTCAAGTTCGAATTCGATCCACCATTACTCTAAGGTGGTCATTCTAAGTGTGATAAAGAAATCAAAACCTACAAATCTCTGCTCTTGACAATTTGATGCATACTCAGATCTTCAACAGCCGAGGGAGATTTCTAGGCGAGGTTGCCAGACGCTTCCTTTCAAACGCTTGCTTCGAAAAGTCATGACCTAATTTTGAATTTGGTGGAATTGCAAAAAGCAAAGCACTGCTTGTTGGAGCAGTAATGCTAATAAAATTTTGTCACTAATTTAATTCTAAATTTTTTCTCAAAATTTTTTTCTGTAGAAAATTT